TCACAGAAGTGAACCAAATGTTAAGATAGAGGCCTCCTGTGTAAGTTTTCTAGTGTGCCTTAAAATCAAGAAGGCTGCACGACCCCCTATGAAGTTTGGCGAACCCTAGTGATGATCCCAACCCCGCTGGGCTACACCAGTGAAGCTGATTGTATGAATGTGTGTATGATTGTTAAAAATGATTAAAAAAAATACATAATACAGACAGATAATTGTATAAAAAGTCCCTCAAAAGGGAAGTAATCACTCCCAGTTTTATTATAATATGAAATATCCATAAAATATATCACTGAGTCAGGAGTGCTCAGGTTACTAAATGATAGAAAAGGGTTCACTTAATGTGTCTTTATCACTCTCTCCTTTATGTGTCTGCAGGGGTGTAGCTAGAAATGATGTGCAGGAACTGTTGCCCTCCTGCATTTACTTCTCCTCCTTTGTTGCACTGCACACAGCACAGTGCAGAATATAGGCAGCTATACACAGTATAAACACATCAAGCTGATTCTTCCACCTTGGATGGCGAAGGCCTGATATAATAGTTGGATGGAGGAACCTTCACCCTACAGGCTGTGGGCCAGTATTGATCACAAACTCTGCTCCTTGTCTGTCGCTTCATGTTAATTATCTAATGATCCTTAAATCCCTGAAGCTAAGCAGCAGAAATTAGGTGACAATGTTTCAAATGCTACTGGCCCATTTTTGGGTTAACTAAATTTGCAAGAGGAGGGCGTTTATCCTTCGCTTAGAAAGAAAATTTGGGGCATATATTAAAAATACACCCACTTCGTCAGGCACCGCTACACCGCTGGCATCGGGGCGCTATGGGCCCAGTTCCAATGTCCACACATATGCACACACACTGTCTGATGCATTGTCCCCTTAATGCACGACTTGCTCCAGTATTTCGGAGGATTATTAATGCAATCCCCACCCCTGGAGCAACACAGCAGAGCTCTCTGCTTCACAGAACTGCCAAAGGAATATAAGGGGGGAAGCTTCGATCTCGCCGTATCCAGGTTTCCCTGCCTTTAGGGCACAGCAGCGGACAGGTTTGACCAAAATGCAAAGCCGGTTTATGCGGCTTAGTTCCAACAATTTTAGTGAAATGGTCCAACAGTGATGAATGTCAAGTCCTATATATATATATATATATATAATCATCCAAAGTGTAAGCCACAGTTAAACTTTTTGTTGTGGAAAATTGGTTGTTTTTTTATATTTACTGCAGTGCAACACATCAGACACTTAACACACATACTGTAGGTATTGTTTTGCACATGAATATACAAGTGAATTCAT